GCAGGTAACAGCGTTCCGTGCACTTTGGTGTTTAGTCATGCCGGCCACATGACCACGGAGATTGTCTGCAGACAAATGCTGGCTCCCTCGGCTAGGAAACGGAGATGAGCACCGCTCCCTGGAGTCAGACGTGACTGGACTTAACGTCAAGGGGAAACCTTTACCTTTACCTTAAGCCACCTTGAGACTATGGTAGTAGGAGGCATGTAAATGAAAGTATAAATAAATAAATAAATAAATAAATAAATAAAATTGGTTGTGACTAGGGAGAGGGCCTTCTTTGTAAGCTCTGGAGCTTACTGCCTAGGGAGGTCTACCTTATCTTGTCTCTGATGGCTTTCCACAAATGTTCAGAGATTTAAAAAACAAAAACTTTTGCGTAATAAGACATGGTCATGCCCCTCCTTATATAGGATTTTGAAACTCTTCTATGGGAAATTGCTGTTTAAATTCTGCTGATTGAATTATCTTATCCACCATGTCTGTTTTCCATGCTTTTTCATGTCCTATTGATTTTAGATGCTGCTAGCCACTTTGGATGTCTTATAGAAAGACGAGGGGAAATGTTTGATATAAATCAAACTAGATTAACAAGAGCTAGTTCTCAGGCCCATATTATGCCAGTTTTATATCATCTACACCAGCTCCCAGTGGAAGTTCTGGCCCAATCTAAAGTGCTTGTACTTGCATATAAAGCCCTAAACAGCTTGGACCCTGGATACCTGAAGGACCACCTTCTCCTAAATCTCCCTACCTGTCCATTAGGATCAAGTCAGGAGGTCCCCCTTAAGGAGCCATCTCCCAGTGAGGTGAGGGGGCTGGCAGCTAGAAGAAGGGCCTTCTCAGTAGTCATACCCCATCTCTGGAATAGGCTCCCCAGAGAGGTGCACCTGATGCCATCGTTGTTATCATTTTGGTGCCAGGCAAACACATACCTTTTCTCTGGATATTTTAATAGTTGATTTTAGTAGTAAATTTTGATTTTAACTAGACCTTATTCCTGGCTTATTGTTTTCTCTTAATTTTAAATTGTTTATTTAAAAGCTTTTTATACAATGATTTTAATTTGTTGGATTTTGCTCTTTATATTTTGGATGTTATTGTTAATGTTCTATTGTTATAGATTTTAAGAACATTATGCTGTTTTAATTGCTTTGTCAGCTGCTCAGAGAGCAAGTGTGGGCTACTGTAGTGGCATATACACTGAATAAATACATTAATAAACAAATACATTAATGTCTAAGTGCCCGTCACATTATATCTCAAGCCAGTTGTTTTCCCAGAATCATTGTAGTCAGGGGTATAGCCCTGGCCCTCTGGGATGTATGCCTGTCCTTTTCTACTGAGTTGCAGTTCCATGGAGCTCTACTTTGGTGCCAAATAGATAGCCAGGTCCGGAAAGGCAGAGCTTAGGACCATCCCTCAGGAGTCCCTCATTTCCTGGGGTGTTGGTTTTTAGAAAGTAGAACAGTTGAGCTTCAGCCCCGCCACATCTCCTTCTTTCCATCTAAAGTAACTACTGCTGCCATGCATGTTTTCTTCAGAGTGGGACTCCAGCCACTGACCCAAGGAGCAGTGGGTAGAAATGCCTGCTGTGAACTTGTAGCTTTTGTTGTTCTTCTCATATGTGGCTTCTGCTTCTCTGATTCACCTCCCAGTGATGGAAATACAGACAAGCGGCTTCTGCTTATGAGAATGGAGAGCCATTGTGGCATAGCAGGTAGAGTTTTGGCACTTGGGAAATCTGGGTTCTAGTCACCATTCAGCCATGAAACTTACTGGGTAATTTTGGGCCAGTCCTCTCAGCTGAACCTTCCTCACAGGGTTGTTGTGTGGATAAAATGGAGAGGAAAGGGAAAAGGATTGCGTAAGCCACCTGGGGTTCCTTGCAGGTATGCATTAAGGGAAGTATGTCATAAATAAGGAGCACCATGCACCCTCTATGCCATAACATAGCCCTCAGAAAACTACAGTGAGGCAACATGAATATAATCAACAATCTTAAACATATTTATTTAAATCAAAGGAAGTTATTTCCATGTAAATATCTTGATATGTAGCTTTGTACAATGTTAAGCTGCTTGTTCAGAATGTTAAGTAAAAAAACACTCATAATTGACAAATTTTATAAGACAGATTCTAGAGAAATTATCTTTTAATTATCCTTACAATTGAAACACTGCTGATATTTGCCATTTAAAAAACTATAAGCATTTCTTGAAAAAAAATTACTGTTTATGAGGGAAGAAACACTGTACAGTGCCTTGCAGAAGTATTCAGCATCCTCCCCTTAATTTTTGCACATGTTGTTGTGTTACAGCCTAAACTTGAAATGGAATTAATTGACACTGTTACCATCCAGTGTGTATACAACATACCACTATGAAGGTACAAATTATTTTTTAATGGTGGCACAAAAACGACAAGAATGAAAACAAACTGGCACTTGTTGGTTGCGTGCCCTTTGTTGTGATATGCCTTAAATAAGGTGCAGCCCACCACCTCCAGAAGTCACACCTGCAATTAGCTGAATTTATTTATTTATTAACAATATTTATACCCTATCCTTTAAAAAACATCCAAGGATGGCTTACAGCCATGTATGGAGTCTACCTGTGTTTCCCATGATTTCAGATTAAATCTGCCTGTTTCCGGAAGGCCTTGGAATCTATTTGGAGAGCACCTCTAAAGACATAGCATCAAGAAGACCAAGAAGCTAACAAATCAGGTCTGGGATAAAGGTGTGTGGAAGCACCAATCAGGGTTGAATTATTAAAAAATAAATAAAACATTTATTTAAAAAATAATAAATACTATGACTGTTCCACAGAGTGCTGTTAAATCCATTTTAAAATGGAACGAATATGGCTCAACAGTGGCTCTGGCTGGAGAAGGCCACCTGCCATAAATCACTGACCAGAAGAAAAGGGTATTAGTTGGAGAAATAACCAAGAGGCCAATGGTAGCTCTGAAGAAGCTGGAAAGATTTGCAGCTGAGATGGGAGAAACTGTCCATGGGACAACTGTCACCCAGATGCTCTTCAAAGATAGGCTTTATGGAAGAGTGGCAAGAATAAAGCCATTTCTGAAACAAAGCCCATTTGGAGTTTGCAAAAAGACTTGTGGGAGATGCAGCAAATATGTGGGAAAAGAATCTCTGGTCTGATGAGCCGAAAACTGAACTTTCTGGCCAAGATGCAAAATGCTGTGTGGGATGCAAAACCAACAGTGATCATTGTTCTGGGGAAACCATTCCCACAGTGAAGCATTATGGTGGCAGCATCAAGCCATGGTGATATCTTTCCTTGGCAGGGACAGGGAAACTGTTTAGGATTGAGGCCAAGATGGATGGAGCCAAAGGTAGTGCTGTTCTAGAGGTTTCAGTCTTGGACTGGGCTGAGAGGGAGGGTTCAGCTTCCAGCAGGACAATGAGCCCAAGTCCATAACCAAAGTAACACTGGAATGCTGTGAAAACAAGGACCTGAATGTCTTAGAACAGTCCTTGACCAAGTCAAATCCCAGACCTCTGTCCAAATAAGAGTCTGTGGCAAAACTTGACTCGCTGCGGTCCCCATCCAACCTGACAAGGCTGGAATATGTAGTTTTGCCAGGAAAAACATTGCACGATCCAGATGAGTGAAGCTGAAAGAGATTTAGCCAAGAAGACCTGCAGCTGTACATGCTGTCAAAGATGCTTCTACCACATACTGACTCGTGGGCAGGGTAGTGAATATTTATGCAACCAAGAAGTACCAGCTTGGTTTTCTCTACTGCACTTTTGTGCCACAATAAAAATATATTGTAGTTTCAAAGTGTTGAGTATCTTGTGTACATCAAGTGGTAACAATGCCAATTAAATTCCAGGTTATAACACCCTAAACTGTGGTAAAGTCAAAAGAGGCAGAATACTTCTGCAAGGCACTGGGTATTGGTTTTACTTCAAGCTTGTCCTTTCTCTTAATATTCGCAGAGTTTGATCCCCACAGACCTCTTTCTCATCAAATTTGTCCTGAGAAATCCTTTGATGCACTAGGGAGTTTCAGAGATTCTTTTCTCTTCACCCTCCTTCCTTTTGGTGATGCAAAACAAAGCGATCAGGTTTCCATTTTATCGATGGGAATTACATAAAATGCCATCAACTGTCTCAAGAGATGGATTAGAATTGAGAGGATTGGGAGGCACATGTTTCCCCAAAGTTTATTCTGAGACATTTTTAGTAAGGCTTGAAGAGAACCTGCTATGTCCACAGTCAGGGAAATTAGTATTATTTCCGATTTCAGTCCTTGTAAGAAGTATTTTGGTGATGAGCTCATGAAATCAAACTCCAGCACGGCGCCTGAATGAGGATGCCTCTCCTATTACGTCTGTTCAACTTCATAATCAAGTGTTGCTTTTAATGATTATGAAGATCGGTGAGGGGAGTGGGGGAGAGGGGTCGTGTAAACGGCATCCGGTAGGACCAGGTTCACGACTCCTCATCTCGTTCACCCTCTTCTGGCCCCACCCAAGCGAGATCTAGTGACTTCCCGCTGTTGCAACTCCTTAAAATAAAAGTGGATCCAGTGACACTTTGATCCCTAGTGGGAGAAGGATGTACTTCCGCAGATTTTCCTTGCGGGGAGGGAAGGGGAGGGCGGCCGATATAAGTTAGCCACCATTCAGTATCTATTTTATTATTTGTTTTAAGGGACCTCCGCCTCCACTCGGGCAAGTTACACAAGAGCACTGGCCAAACCTCCGGAGCCGCCGGCGCCCCGGATCAACGTTCAGTCCAAGGCAGCAGCCGGCAGAAGAATCGCATGAAGGCTGCAGCTGTGGATCAGCTGCCGCCGCCGCCGCCGCCGCTGCCGCTGCGAGGCAGGGGAGGAGTTTAAAGGGGATCAGGAAACAACGGAGTGCCTAACACCTCTCCCCTGCTATGGCTGGCTAAAGAAAAATCATCATAACCATAACAAGGGGGGAGGCGGAGGGAGTGAGCGAGGGGGTGGAGGGGGAACAGCACCAGCACCAGCACCATGAGGAGGAGAGCTGGCCTGGGGGGCAGCATGAGGTCAGTAGTGGGCTTCTTGTCCCAGAGGGGCTTGCAGGGAGACCCCCTGCTCACCCAGGACTTTCAGAGGAGACGCCTGCGAGGCTGTAGAAACCTCTACAAGAAGGATCTCCTGGGCCACTTCGGCTGTGTCAATGCCATTGAATTCTCCAACAATGGAGGCCAGTGGCTGGTCTCAGGTAATGCAACCCCTCTCCTCTTCTTTCACCCTCCCCTAATTTTTATTTCCTTCGCCAGTTCTCTCCCCCCCTCCCCGACCCCGCCGCCCAGGCTTCCCTGAGCTCGTTGAGCCCGCATCGGAAGGGAACGGTAGCGGCACTCCTGAGGCGTATTCACACACGCACGCACACACCCCTGATGTTTCCCAAATAGAGATCTAAAATGGTTGACAGGTTTTTTAGGGGGGTCGTTTTGTCCCCCATCCCAAATCGTGCTTGTGGTGGGTCCTTTTGCGCGAAGGGAAGTTCTGACTCCCCACCCACACCCACCCCAGAAAGCAGGGACTGCTCTGCAGGGCTCAGCAGCGTTTTAAAAATCATAATCACCATCAAAATTAAAAGCTGGATGTTCAGCCCTCATATTGTATGTGTCGCGAGTGACTAGAAACAAAATGGATTAAGGCTCGTAGGAATTCCGGCATTTGATAAAGTAAATAGCGAGAGACGCAACATATCCTAAATGGAGACCGGACTAGTGTTTTGTGTCCGAATTCGGTGGGATTCTTGTGTTATTTTTGCCACTTTTGGGGTGTGTGGCTTTCAGAATAGGAACGCCTGGGGGGATTTCTTAATTTTTAAATCGGGGGAAGGATAGGGCATTTTATTTTGCATAGTGCCTTTTCTGAAGGGGACGGTGTACGTGCTTGTTTCACTCCCCACCCCAGTTTTAATTCCCTTTGCAAAGGGGTGGGGAAGTCTCGGGTTTTATGGGGCGGGGGGCAGCTGTCAGGTGTCGGGGTGGCTTGGAGTTGACGTTCGCTGCTGCGACAGTGGGGGTGAAGCAGGGAGGAGCCCCTTCGGGAGCGGGGCGAGGGGAGAACCCCTCCGGGCTGCCCCCCTCCATCGGCGCCTGTCATCTGGGGCCGAGGCTGGGGGCAGATTCTGTCCTCCCCCCATGCAGGAGCGCACACACCGCTGCCGCTATAGGCGCCGCCCCGAGGGGAAATGGCGAACTCCAGGCCGGGGCTTGAGTGGGAGCTGCAGGCCTCGCTCTCCTTGAGCTCCTCATAGCGACAGGCCGGGGAATCGATGGCCTATTCCGTCCAGGGAGCGGAGGGCGACTCAAGAGTGGCATCTCGCTCCGGCCGCTTTGGCCTTTGCCAATGCGCGCCGTGTGTGTGTGTTGACAGGTAACAAGTTGGACGTAGATATAGGTGGAGTGTCTTGACAGGTAGCAAGTTGGAGGCAGTGTTCACGATCGTCCCCCCCCGCCCCAAAGTAGGCCACACAGAAGAGGGTGCACCGTCAAGGCACTCCATGACAATCCGGAGTATTCATCACAACCTGGTGTGCTCCGCTGTTTCTGGTATCTAAGGGTGCAATCTTATGCATTTTAGTTCTATATCAAAAAAAAATAAAAAATCCTACAACTCCCAACATTCCCCAGCCATCCATGCTGTCTGGAAAATAGTGGGATTTTGTAGGAGGACCCCCTATCGATCTAACCATGCATAGGTTTTAACCTAATTTGGATTAGAACCTGCTTTTCACCCACAAATCTGTATTAACCTATTCTATCCACCTTGTAAGCAGGACAGATTTAACCCTGTTTTAGTAATAACTGGGTGAAGTGAACCGGTATACACATTGTATCCCTGTTAGGGATTTGCCCCCCCCCCCCCAATAGCTAGGGCTTCATCAGATTAAGACAATGTGTCACAGAAAAAGGGAAACTGAGGCAAAGAAGGGCATTGTGTTTGTTTCAAAGCTAACAGCAGTATGAAAAGAGAATGAGAATTACATTGTAATAACCAAGGCTTGCTACATTTCATTAATCATTATTTATGATTTTATATTTAATCATTCAATTAGTCATTTAATGTCTATTCTGACCAACATCCAAAGCTCTCTGGGCAGTTCACAAAATGTGTACTAAAATGTAAAATCTTTAAGATATTTAAATACAGTTTAAAACAGCTAAAAAGCAATTTCAATAAAAGACCAGGACATGACAAGAACAGGTGACATTAAATGCTCCATCATATGCTGTCAAATGCCTGGGATCAAAGGACAGTCTTAGCTTGCCCCCAAAAGAATGACAATGGTGGCACTAGGCAGATCTCAGATTTCCATAGATCTCAGCTATGGAGCATTCCATAGTTGGGGCTACACCAAGAAGGCCTTCTCCTTGATTGCCATGTTTTGAGGCATCATCAGAGAAGTTGCTTGGAGGAGGGTCTCAGATATTGATTACAGTGCCTGGGTAGGTTCGTACTGGGCAAAGTGCTCCACCAGGTGTTATGCTCTCAAGCCATGTAAAACTGTATAGCTCAAAACCAGCACCCTTGCAATCAGTGTGGCTGCAACATTTTGCAGAAGCTGCAACTTCTGAACAGTTTTCAAGATCAGCTCCACACAAAGTAAATTGTAGCAATCTACTCGGGGGTTAAAGATGGCTGCAGAAGAATCCCTAAGCTACAAACCTGCTCCTTCAGGGGAAGTATAACTCCATCCAAAACAGGATGAGCATCCAGTCAGAAGAACCACTCGCAATGTTCTAGGAAGGACCACTCTTTTCCTTGCACAGATAAGAGACATACACAGACTTACCAGCAGGCATTTGCTGAATCTATAGCTGAGTAGCTTTTGAACTCATGTTTAAGCCAGCTCTGTTCACTATATCAAATTGATCCCCTTCAGACGTAATAGTGACTTTTAGCAGCAATTAAAATGTTTCTAGTTTCCATCAACATCCTTTGAATGTGGCATCCATGGGTTCTTGCTGCGATAGCAGACATTTGTTCTTGGTTTAACTTGGGGTTGTTTAACCCACAAACAGGCCCAAAAGCCTGGATTCAGATGTCATGGAAACATTCATAGGCAGTTGCTAAAAGTGAGAAGCAACACACAAATGTCTCATTTAGAGAGCAGATACCCAGGGTTCATTAATGATCTGCGGTATAGAACAGGCAATTCTTATTTCAGGTGACATCCCTGCTTGGAACCTTTCTTCTTCAGGAGTTAAACTGTTAGCTGAAACCTTCTGCATGCCCTCTCTCCCACCAGGTGCTGCCATTCATCCTTGCTGCAATTTAGAAGCACAAATGAACCTTTTTGCCTTAAAGTAATATTCTGGATATTCCTGAGGTGACTGTCTTTCCTTGTACAAAATGTGAAAAGCTTAGATGGAGTAGAGAGAACAGTGATCCAGAAAAGTGGACTTTTTTTAGTTTTACATCTAATTTATTCATATATGTTATTCTAGATGTTGTAGGCAAATTCTGCATGCCTTGAATAAATAGGTTAATATAGCTTCATGAACAGAATATGCTTATGGCTTCTTACCCTGATTGTTCCAATCCAGTCCAACCAATTGCTCCATTCCAATCTTGATCTTCTTATTGGGATCCATAATTATTCTGCCATTTATTTATGTTAGCTGGTTTGACCTCATCCACAAATCTCCTCTTCCTCATCCCCAGCTGCGCCATCTTTCTTTTTGCATCCAACATAATTTTCTTGATCATTGGCTTTGCTCACTTTTCTCATGTTTTGATGATTCTCTCTAGATTTCTTTTTGTGGATCATGGTCTACCATTATTACACATTGTCCTACCTTGCTTTGTCAGGGCCATGTAACAGGAACAGTTTTTTCAAACACAATGCATTCACTCCTATTATTGCTGCAAAAAAGTTAAGAAAATATTGATCATGAAGGAAATATATGAAGGCAGGCAGGGATTATTTACATGCAGGGAACTTTGGCAAAGAGTGGTAACGATATGTACTTACCTTTAAAATAAGAAAAAGCCCTCTCTTGTATTTCCTGTCTTTCTATCAATACAATCCATGCCCAAGGATGAAACTTAGACATTATAGAAGTTGCAAACCCCTTCCCCTATGTTGTTGAAAATGTAAAGTTCAAATACTTAAGCCTCTTCAGTACTGAAACTCTGTCTCAGATTATTCTAGTTATACTTATTCAGTTGCACCTTCTTAGATTTTCTCTGAAACCTGTTCCCTTGGCCTGGACTTCACTAGTTCAGTTTCTGTGGGTGAGACTGTCAGAATGACTTTTCTTAATTTTTAATACTTAAAGCAATAACTGGGCACATTTGGGGCTTCACAAAAGAATGTTATTATTTTTAACAATCCAGGATGGACACTAGATATCCTCATCTAAGAGGTAATTGTTAGTAGATGATTTCTTGACAGAAACTTGCCTGGAATGTGAAACCTCTCAAAGGTTGCTCTTAGCATTCTTAGCGAAGATGAGGGGACTCTGTGCATGTATGTGACCTGGTTCACATAGGTTGTAACAATAACCTAGGGTACAGGTGGACTATGGGTTATCATCAAACTGAGGGTTGTTTTTGAATAGTGGGTTGTTATTATGTGTGAAGCCTACACTACAGTTTAAGTTTGGGTTGTTAACAACAAATAACCCAGAGTTTGCAACCAATAACAAAGCATGGGTTCTTTTCCTGGCTTGTTCATGGTTATCAGCCCTTACTTAAATGATAATGCAGAGTTCATCCATAATGGCAATCCATAACTCAACAGAAACCCACAATTCATAACAACCCATACTCTGGGTTGTTGTTGGAATGTGAGCCAGGCTTGTGTGTGCGTGTAGAAACAAATATGCAGTAATACATATTTACATGAGAGCCATGGAAACAGAGACTTGTAATCAGTACAAGGTACCTGAAAGTACCTTACTGTGCACTGTTCTTGGGGATCTGAACCAGAAGATCTGCTGACTGGCGGAAATGTGTATCTGTATTAAACCGAAAATTGCAAAATGACATAAATGTCCGATGATCTCTTCCCCCTTCTAGAGAGGAATTTAAACCAAAACAACATAGTGCTTGGAAGTGAGGAGCAGGTAACAATCGATGTTCTTCTTCCTAAGGAACTCTATATGGCTTTCTCATTATAAGATCAAGAAATGCTTATAAAAAACATTCCAAAGGTTTTTTTTTTGAAATTCTAATGCTTTTTAGAAAGTAAATACCATT